CAGCACCACCACCACCACCACCACCACCACCAGCACCACCAGCACCACCAGCACCAGCACCACCAGCAACAGCACCACCACCACCAGCACCACCACCACCAGCACCACCACCAGCACCACCATCATCACTACCAGTACTATGCTTATACTGCTACTGCTTACACTACTAATACCTATACTTCTACTACGGATGCTTACACTATTCATACTGTATACTGATACTTATACTTATACTACTCATGCTACTACAGCATATCATATATACGTTACTGCCATCATGACTTCTTCTCTTCCCCCTGGGTTTGGGGTGCCTTAGCGAAGGCACGGAAGCCCTTCCATCCCGAGAAGCGGAAGAGGGGCACGATCTCCTGGCATTTACGAACTTTGGGATTTCTACGCGGGTTTAGGGTTTAGGGATTTCTATACGGAGCTTAAGGTTTCCGGATTTGTGCAAAGGTTCGGGATTTAGTGATTTCTAGAAGAGTTGAGGGTTCGGGGGTGTGCGTAAGGGTTTAGACTTCGGGAATTTCTGTACATTTCAAGAAGAGTCGCCCAGCGGTTCCTTGAGGGATCCTCAACCTAGATTCACATTGATGGTAATATTTTTTGCCTTTTAAAATTTTAGCATGAGCAGCGCGTGAAGCATTGGCGGCATTATTCCCTGAACCTCCAATATCCAAACGGGCACCGGAAGCCCGCCTTACAGCCCGAACTGAAAAGCTTTAGGGCCCTTACCTTCAGAGATGCAATCGCCTCATGTGGCTCTAGAGACCTCAGCAAGTAGTAACCACATGTAACAACATGGCTTGGTTTTCCTGGTATATTCATAGCATGGGATCAGTTTTACCTCCGGAAGGTTAAGAGTTGAGGCGTTTAGGGTAGGCTTTGGGATTTAAGGTTGAGACTGTAGGCTTCTCAAGGTTTAGGCTTTGGGACTTAGGCTTTTTAAGGTTGAGGCTATAGGCTTCAAGTTTTTGGACCTTAGGCTTTCGGACTTGAAAGTTTGAGCCCTGGAGTTCCCAATAAGAAAAAAACCCGCTGTAAAAAAATTACCTTCAGGGCATGAAGACAACACCCTAAACCCTAAACCCTGAACTCTGAACCCTAAACCCTATACTTTACCTTAAAGGCATGAGGACAATGATGTTCCAACTTTCCAGCTTCTTCTGTAGTGTAAGACGAAGAACTAGGCAGGAGCGAGACTACGAGACCGGCAGGACTCCATCACCCTTTCCCCCAAAGCGTCCTTACTCCCCGTTTAGGGTTTAGGGGTTCAGGGGTTTAGGGTTTAGGTTCCCATTCCGCTGTCCTCGAGGGTTTTGCCTTTGGTTTCGGGAACGCAGGCCGCCACGAAGGGAATCACCACCAAGCAGACGCAACCTTTGGGCTTAGAGCTCAGCATTTGGGGTTTTGGGGTTTGGGGTTTAAGGTTCAGGGATTAAACCTTAGGGTTTAAGGTTGGGGGATTGGGGATTGAGGTTTGGGTTTCGGAGTTTAGGCTGTCGAGCTCAATTTTCAGGGTTAGGCAAGCAGCCGAAGAAGATCAGCGTCCCACCCGGGCCGAGTGGGGAGGAGATCATCTGCGGTGTCACGAAGGCGCTTAAAACATTCGCCGGCCCCCAGTTCATGGCTGTGCAGAGTCCCACAGCCTCTGGGCTCTTGTTAAGGGATTTAGTTTAATTACAAGCTACCATAATAGGGATCTATAGTAAATAATAGGGTTTCCTTATTATGGCAATTTACATGAAATCCCTTAGCAAAAACCCAGGCCTTCCCCCGCACGCGCAATGGCATGATCTCGGAGATGTAGAGCCAAGCTCCGAAGCCCCAGGAGATGCCAAAGGAGAACATGTACATCACGATCATGGACACGATGGTGTAGCCTGCGGCTTCCCCGATGTGGCCGGTTTCATCCTGGGCCACCACTGCGACGACACCGCCCACAAGCATCGTCACGCACATGGAGACCTGGGGGTTCCCGAAAATAGGGGGGACCCTGATTTATAGTACTTTAAATAGTCGGATCCTTATCATAAGGACCCCAAAGCAAGGAAACCCTAAACCCTGAACCTTAAACCCCAAAATAAGGAAACCCTAAACCCTAAACCTTAAACACTAAACCTTAAACCCTAAACCCTAAACTCCTAAACCCTAAACCTTAAACCCTAAACCCTAAACTCCCCTTCTTTTTGGGAAACTCCCACCATGCCCCAGAGCAAGAGGGGCCGACGGCCGGCACGGTCGACTAGAAGGAAACTCCCGAGGGCGTTTCCTGGGTTCTTTTTTTAGGGAATTGTATTTAAGTTACCATATGTTACCATAATTGGGGGATTAGGGCTTATAGGGTTTATTTTAGGGTTCAGGGAAAATTCTATTTAAGTTACCAGAATTAGGGGATTAGGGTTTAGGGACTCGGGTTTAGGGTTTAGGGTTCTTGTTCAGGGGATTTTATTTAACTTACCATAATTAGGGGATTGGGGTTTAGGGACTAGGGTTTAGGGTTTGGGGTTTACAGGTTTAGGGTGTAGGAATTTTATTTAAGTTACCATAATGAGGGGATTAGGGTTTAGGGTTTAGGGTCTAGGGTTTAGGGTTTAGGCTTACCATCATAAGGAAACCCTACTATATTTGCTATTTAAGTTGTACCATAATGAGGGGACTAGGGTTTAGAGGTTTAGGGTGTAGGGGTTAGGGTTTGGGCTTTAGGGGTTTAGGGTCTAGGGATTAGGGCTTAGGGTTTCCATAATAAGGAAACCCTAATATTTACTATAGATCCCTATTATTGTAACTGAAATAAAATTCCTGAACAAGAGCTCAGTTTCCCGCAGTGAAGGCCACGAAAGGGAGAATCGAAAAGGCGATGCCATGGAGGCCCAGGGCATTGAAAAGTGTGCCGCTGAAGCTCACGATGGCGTTGATGCCAGTCATGATTTGAAAGAACTGAATCGTGCAGCCGATGATCACCACATTCCGGTAGAAGGGAGTAGTAAAGACCTCGGACCAGGTGGCCTCCCCTGCTGCGCGTTCAGACTCCAGCTCCAGCTGCACCTCCTTTAACCTGGGCTCTTTAGGGTTTAGAGGTTTAGGGTTTAAGGGTTTAGGGTTTAGAGGTTTAGGGTTTAGAGGCTTAGGGTTTAGGCTAAACCCTAAACCCTAAACCCTGTTTAGGGTTCAGGAACTTCCCGGAAGTTACCATAGATGACACATGCAGTACGAAACCCCCAGGCCCTCACCGTCGAAACCCGAAGCCTGCATCCCCAAATCCTAATCAAAAAAACCCTTGAAAGACGCTCCGTCACAGGACAGGAGTAGCTCCCGTAACACCCTAAACACTGAAACCCAAAACCCTAAAACCCTAAACCCTGAAACGGGTTTAGGGTTTAGGGCTTTTCCCAAATCCTAAACCCCTGACCCTACTAGAACCCAAAACCCTGGATAGGGCGGAGGTCCTCATGCCAATTATAGTATTTGTCCTCCAAGCCCCGGTTCTAATTGTTAAACCCCCTATATACGTTGTCACTCATAACCTCCTTTTTGGAGCCCTAAACCCTAAACCCCTAAACCCTAAACCCCTAAACCCCTAAACCCCTAAACCCCTAAACCCTAAACCCTCAACCGTCTAACCTCCCTTTTTGGAGCCGAGGAGCTCATGCATGGCAGTCTCGCGGTCGCCCGCGCGCAGCCGCGTAAGGACCGCGAGGGCCTCGTCCGACCGGCCGGCCTCGGTGACTTTTTTTGGGGGGACGAGGGTTTAGGAGTCTAGGGCTTTAGGGTTTAGGGATTAGGGTGTAGGGTTTAGGATTTTAGGGATCAGGGTTTAGGGATTAGGGTTTAGGGTGTAGGAGTTTTGGGATTAGGGTTCAGGACTTGGGTTTTACGAGTTAGTTTTTAGGGATATTGACAGGGCTTTGAGGGTAGTCAAGGCTTGCTTTGGGTTTAGGGTCCGTTTAAGGGCTAGGAATTCAAGCTACTCGAAGGTTCCGACAAGGGTTTCTTCCTCTTCATGGTACATCCAAAAAAGCGACGGCTGATGATATAAATCCTGCATTACCCATAATAAGGAATATACCCTAATTCCCACAGCTTAGGGTCCTTAAGGTAGTGCAGGATCTATCTCATCAACCTCTCCCAAAATCCTAGACCCTAAACCCCAAACCCCCTACACCCTAAAGCCTCTGTGGGACCCTTGAAAAAGGAGCGATTAAGGGGCCGACCGTCTCCAAGAAACGCGGGGTCTCGCAGACGAAGAATAAGCCCAGCACCACCAACAAGCCCACGCCCTGGAGTAGACTTGGCTTAGGGCTCCTATTTAGGGGGTTTAGGCCTTAGGGTTTAGGGTTACTATTTAGAGTTTAGGGTTTAGGGTTATATACTATTTAGGGTTTAGGGTTACTATTTAGAGTTTAGGGTTTAGGGTTACTATTTAGGGTTTAGGGATTTAGGGTTTAGAGTTTAGGACTATGAAGGTTCTATGGCCTTGAGTAGAATTGGCTTAGGGCTAATATACTGAGTGTCGATTTCAACAGTCACCAGAATTATCATTAGTTCGGGCTCTACCCTAAAAAAAAGAACCAGATAGGAGCCACGAGCCCGA